TGTCACAACTACCCAACTCTGTTGTTTTAGCAAGAAAGCAGCCACAGATAATCTGTAAATGGATGAGCATGACTGTGTTCCAGTAAAACTTTATTTTCAAAAACAGTCGGCAGACGGGGCTTGGCCTGTAGGCCAGAGTTTGCAAACCCCTGAACTGAACTACATCCCTTACTAGAATTTCTTCAGTTTTTCCGCTAATGTCTTCTTTCTGTTTCAGGATCCTATCCAGGATCCCGCCTTGTATTTGGTTGTCATGTCTCCTTATTCTCCTCTCATCTCTGACAGTTCCTTCGCCTTTCATAAACCTTGATGCTTTTGAAGAGTACCAGTCAGTTATTTGGTAGAATGCCCCTCAGTTTGGGTTCAACTGATGTTTTCTCATGACTGGAGTGAGGATGATATGCATTTGGGGCAAGAATATCGCCAAGATGGTGTTGTGTCCTTCTCAGTGCATTGTCTCAAGGAGTTTGTTAGTGGTGATGTCTACCTTGATCTCTTGGTTAGGTTGGTGTCTGCAGGATTTCTCCACTGTAAAGTTACCATTTTTCCCGTCGTAGTTAATAAGTATTTTGGGGGAGAAACTGTGAGACTCTGCAAATCCTGTTTCTCCAGGGATTTTTGCCTGCTAATTTTAGCATGTCCAATGTAGATCTTATCTGCAACAATTATTACTGTGGTATTTATCTAATGGTAATTCTCTATTTCCCTCTTTCCTTTTACATTTACTAGTTGGAATTCTACTGTGAGGAAGAGCTGTTCCCTCTCTCTCAGTTATTTATTTATGTGATTATGTCAGTGTGGACTCATGGATATTAATTTATCCTGTGGTTAAAAATCCAGTACTCTACTAGCAGTGAACAATCCGAAATTAAGAAAACAATTCCATTTACAACAGCATCAAAAAGAATAAAATACTGGGGCTGGGCTGGTGGCATAGTGGTTAAGTCCAGCACCCTCCACTTCGGCGGCCCAGGTCCACAGGTTCGGATCCCAGGTGCGGGATCTACACCACTCATCAAGCCATGCTGTGGCAGCAACCCACATACAAAATAGAGGAAGATTGGCACAGATGTTAGCTCAGAGTGAATCTTCCTCACCAAAAAAAAAAAAAGAGAGAGTGAAAAGACAACTCACATAGTAGGAAAAAGTATTTGCAAGTTATATATCTGATAAGGGTCTAGTATCTAGAATCTATAAAGAACTCTTCTAGCTCAACAACAACAAGAAAACGACCCAATTAAAAAATGAGCAAAGGCTCTAAATAGATATTTTTCCCAAGAAGGTATACAAAGGGCCAACAAGCGCATGAAAAGATTCTCAATATCATTAGTCGTTAGGGAAATGCAAATCAAATGCAAATCTCAAGCACAATGAGATCCCACTTCACGCCCACTAGGATGGCTATTTTTTTTTTTTAAGATTTTATTTTATTTATTTATTTATTTATTTTTGTGAGGAAGATCAGCCCTGAGCTAACATCCATGCTAATCCTCCTCTTTTTGCTGAGGAAGACCGGCTCTGAGCTAACATCTATTGCCAATCCTCCTCCTTTTTTTTTTTTCCGCCCCCCCAAAGCCCCAGTAGATAGTTGTATGTCATAGCTGCACATCCTTCTAGTTGCTCTATGTGGGACACGGCCTCAGCATGGCCGGAGAAGCGGTGCGTCGGTGTGCACCCAGGATCCGAACCCAGGCCGCCAGTAGCGGAGTGCGCACACTTAACCGCTAAGCCACGGGGCCGGCCCAGGATGGCTATTTAAACTGAAACAAAACCAGGAAATAACTCACGTTGGTGAGAATGTGGAGAAATTGGAACCCTCGTACATTGTTGTTGTTGAGAACGTGAAGTGGTACATTTGCTGTGGAAAACAGTTTGGTATTTCCTTAGTACCTTCAGCGTAGGATTACCATATGACCCAGCAATTGCACTTCTAGTTATATACCCAAGAGAATTGAAGAGATATGCTCCAACAAATACTTATACATGAAAGTAGCAGCATTATTTATAATATCCAAAGATTGGAAACAACCCAAATATCCATCACGTGATGAATGGATAAACAAAATATGGTCTATCCATACAATGGAATATTATTCAGCCATAAAAAGGAATGAGGGAGTGATACATATACAGTGTGGATGAGCCCTGAACACATTATGTTAAGTGAAAGAAGCCAGTCACAAAGGAACACATATTCATGGTTCCATTTATATGCAACATCCATAATAGGTAAATTCACAGAGACAGAAAGTAGATTAGTGGTTGCCAGGGGCCGGGCAATGAGGAATGACTGCTTAATGGGTACAGTGTTTCCTTTTGGGGTGATGAAAAACTTCTGGAACGAGATAGTGGTGATGGTTGCACAACATTTTGAATGTACTTAATGCCACTGCACTGGACACTTTATTTATTTATTTTTTTGGTGAGGAAGATCAGCCCTGAGCTAACATCCAATGCAAAGCCTCCTCTTTTTACCAAGGAAGACTGGCCCTGAGCTAACATCCGTGCCCATCTTCCTCTACTTTATACGGGACGCCGCCACACCGTGGCTTGACAAGCGGTGTGTCTGTGTGCGTGCCCAGGATCTGAACCCACGAACCCTGGGCCGCCAAAGCAGAGCGTGCGCACTTAACTGCTGCTCCACTGGGCCGGCCCCTGGACACTTTAAAATAGTAAAATGGTAAATTTTATGTTATGTGTATTTTACCACAATAAAAAAAAAACCTTAGAGATGAATACCTCCACACACGAAAATAAAATAATAGCCTTATTCATTTAGTTGCTTAAGTTTTTCTGGCTTTAGCCATTAGGAACTCCTTCCAGCTGTCTTCTGGTTCTCTCAGTGGCCTCATCTTTTCTTGAGCATTTCCTTAATTTGCTCCACCACAAGATGTCCCAGCCTCTTCTTTTGTTTTCCATGCCCCAGCGCAGAATCAGCTGTTTCTGGAAGAGGCTCCGGTTCCTTTTATTGGAGAATGGTGTTTAGGGACCAAGATCTTGGTGCTAATCTGCTTCTGCCCCGAAGTACACGAGTAGGAGGGAGAAGTAATCCAGTGTTCTTTGAGCATCAGTCATGTGTACTTTTACCCATATTATCCTCCCAAAAGCCCTTTTAGAGTTACTGATGATGATGATACTCCATTTTAGATAGGAAAGCGGCTGAGGGAAGTTGAGATTTGCCCAAAGTCATAGAACTACAAGTGGCAGAGCAATTTTTGAACTATTTTTTTTAAGCTATGACCCCGGTTTCCCTTCATACCCTTCTGTACACTCTTCCCCCACCTCTCTCTCACCTGCCATTTGTGCCTCCTTCCATCAAGAAGCCCCCCAACCACTTGGGCTCCCGCCAGCCTCGTCCATCCATGAACCGGCACTGGCCGTCTGTACTGTTCGTTTTGGCGAGGGAGTAGCGGTGTGTGTCTCTTTCCACTGGAAAGGCAGAGGACATTCCCTGACGTAGTTTGTCTTCGCTGGTGCAGGTGGCATGGTGCTGGGCACATGGTATGGGAGAGCAACTCTTGCTGAGTGGAGAGTTCCTCCTCAAGGCAACGTCACTTTGACAGTCATTTTCAACATCACCATCAATAGTTCTGCGAGACTTTGCAGAATGTTTCCACAAGCATCGTTTGTGCAAAAGCCAAACAAGGATTAATAATCCATCTTGTTGGCTGAGGCCTGGTGAGAAGTAATTTGCTGAGGTGGTGGTAAAGCCAATACCCAAATATGGTTCTTTGAACTCCCACCACGCCCCAGACCCTTTCACTATGTCCTCTGCTCCAGTTTTTCTACTAATACTGTTTTGTAATCCAGTGGACTAGAGAGGAATCAAAGAAAAATGGGGCTATTTTGCTCCCCTCGATGTTATGGTCCCATCTCTGTGAAACCACTTCTAATTAGAAAAGTCATGATTTTAGTTAAAATTCAGACATTACTTTCAGGAAGTAACCTTAGTTTCCTTTGATATGACTGAAATGTAGGAATTCCACAGTCAACAGATGATGAAAAAGTAGTTACTTCCTTTCTTCAGGGCATGTTAGAATGGGGGCATTTGGAAAACTCACGTAATACCATCATGGTGAAGGAATAGATAAAGAGTAGGTGGGTTTTCGTTTGTTTTGTTTTCCTGCTAAAATGGTTTGGCACCAGTACAGGCTACTCTTCACGCCAGAGCAAACGGGTGAGTTAGGATAAAGGTGTCATTCTGGCCAGTGGAAGTTTGCAAAGACGGAGCTGACATTGTCTACTGATGGTAGAAAACTTGGGACAGAGGACCCTGGGGTTTGGCAGGAGTTCAGAGTCCTAACCTATGTGTTCTTAAAGCCAGCAGAGCTGTCACTGCACCTCTTAGAGTCATTCTAGGTCTTCTGAGCACTTTTCTGTGCCTGCCCTTTGCCCTTCCTGTTGTCTTCTGTCTCCCTGACAGTAGCTTCTGGGGCCTTTGTCCACTGCCTGCCCTCTACCTCCTTAGTTAGAGGGCCTTGTGTTGTATCAGCTATACAGTGACCTGACCTAGACGTAAATGGAGCCTTTGTGTTGGAAGTGAAGGTGAGCTGATCAAGAATGGTTGAAAGATGATGCATTCAGACTCAACATACTCCTGTTGGTCGGGGGACAATGGTGAGGGAGGGCTGCTGGTCCCTCCAGTTCCAACTCAGCCTGAGGCACATCTCTGGGCAAATCCTCGGATCGGTCAGGTTCCCTGAAAGGCAGGATTGGAAAGACTGGGAGTTCTAGACCTCAGAACCCAGACCCTTACTTTCCCCTAAGAAAAGGTTGTTTCCCCAGAGCTTTTAGATTTCTCCAGATCACATTTCTCTGAACTCTCAAGGAAATCCAGGAGCCTTTGGGAGTCACCTAGACTGGCTTCCAAGGGCCAGAGCTGAAGTATTCTGCCACTTACCTACATTCTCCTGCTTTGAGCCCGCCCAGTACGCTATGCACAAAACGGAACAATGGTTAACAATTTTTTTTCTTACACAGGTGTCACACCAGGCACATCAATTGTCTTGAAATAAAATTCTGGCAGCAGCCCCTGTGAGGTAGGTAGTATTATCTCTATTTTATAAATGAAGAAACTGAGGCCCAGAGAGATTTCAAGATCCCTGTGTATGAGGAGTGTGTGTGTAAATGTTATCATGACAGAAGGAGTTTAAACCTGTGATCTGTTTTCAGAGATAAATCGTGTGTAAATGATGACTGAGATGTGCCTCCCCAGGACTCTGATTCTTACTTTCCATATCTTACCCACTGCCCTGCCTCGACAGTCTCCCCTCCAGCCCTCACACCCAAGGAGGGCTCAGGGGACTCCAGAGCAGGGAATGCGTGACTCGCAGCAGGTGGAACGTGTATATCCCCAGGCTGCGGTGCTCAGCTTGGTGTGTAGTTTCGACCCGGGGTCAGCGCCTCCCACTGCACACTTTTCCCGCTTTATACCACTGAGGGTCTGATTACTGGGGATGGTTTCCATCGCTGAGAGGGCCTGTCTGGTCTGCGCATCCATCTCTCCCATTTCTTCTCTTTGCCCCTCCTTCTGGACAAGCTGTCATGGCCTCCCTGGAGTGCTTAGTGATTCTTGTAGTATTTAAAGATTTTATTTATTTATTATTTTTCCCCCCAAAGCCCCAATAGATAGTGTATGTCATAGCTGCACATCCTTCTAGTTGCTGTATGTGGGACGTGGCCTCAGCATGGCCGGAGAAGCGGTGCGTTGGTGCGCGCCCGGGATCCGAACCCGGGCTGCCAGCAGCGGAGCACGTGCACTTAATTGCTAAGCCACAGGGCCGGCCCAAGATTCTTGTAGTATTTAGGTTTTTTTTTTTTTTTTTACTTGTTTCCCTCACAGGCTTCTGTGAGCACAGTGCTTTGTGGAGTAGCTCCCTTCTCTCCAGGTTAGCAGTGTGTCTTACAGAGGGAAAGCTGCAGAGAAATGGTGAAAGTGAATTTCTTTTTGGGAAATAATTTGACAATAAGTCAAGAGCCTTAAAAATATTTATTCCCATTGACTCAGAAATATTTCCAAGATAAATTCAGAAACTCTATTTTAAGGAAATAATCAGAGGTGCACGAAGATTTATCTTTTTTTTTTTCTTTTTTGGTGAGGAAGACCAGCCCTGAGCTAACATCCGATGCCAATCCTCTTCTTTTTGCCGAGGAAGACTGGCCCTGGGCTAACATCCGTGCCCATCTTCCTCCACTTTATATGGGACGCCGCCACAGCATGGCTTGCCAAGCAGCGTGTCGGTGCGCGCCCAGGATCCGAACCGGTGAACCCTGGGCCTCCACAGCGGAGTGCGCGCACTTAACTGCTTGTGCCACCGGGCCGGCCCCATGAAGATGTATCTTGAAAAGTGATCAGTCATCATGTTTATCAGAGCATTATTTACAATAGTGAAAATAGCCAGTAAATGACTGTATTCATAGGCTGGAATAACATTTGACAGTTTATAATATTCGCAATTTAATAAATAAAAAAAGCAGGACAAAATTATATGTAGTATAAAACCAATAATGTTAAAAATAAATATATTTTATAATATACACGTAAAAAACAGGTAGAATAAAAACAAATAGTAAGTATTTGGATTATGTTTTCTTTAACTTCATGTTTTTAAATTTAGCGTATTTTCTTCAATAATTTTGTATATTTTTACCTTTGTATTTTGAAATAGTTTCAGATTTATAGAAAAGTTGCAAAAATAATGCAAAGAATTCGTGAATACTCTTCATTCAGATTCCCCAAACATTAACATTTTATCATATTTGCCTTATCATTTTCTCTCTCTATATATATGTATATATTTTTAAACATATTTTTTTCCTGACCTACTTGAGAATAAGTTACAGACATGGTGCTCATTTACCCCTAAGTACTTCAGTGTCTATATTCTAAAATTCAGGGATATTTTCTTAGATAACCATAACACAATAATCAACATCAGGAAATTAACATTGATACACTATATTGTCTAAATGTAGAGTTTTTTCAAATTTTGCCGCTAATGTCTTTTATAGCAAAAGAAAAATCTTTTTTTTTTCCTAGTCCAAGAGTGCATTTAATTGTAACCAGTCTTCAGCCTCCTTTGATCTAGAGCAGTTCCCTAGTCTTTCTTTGTCTTTTGTGATCTTGACATTTTTCAAAAGATCAGGCCATTTCTTTGTAGAATGTCCCTCACTGTGGATTTGTCTGATGTTTTAAGATTCAGATTATGTATTTTTGGCAGAACATCACAGAAATGGCTTTGTGTCCTTAGAGCGCCGTATCAGGTGGCAGATGATGTCACTTTGTCCCATTATCGGAGTTGTTAACTTTGATGGCTTGGTTTTGTGGCGTCAGCCAAGTTCCCCACTGAAAAGTTCTGTTTTTCCCTATGTCATCAGTAAGTTTCTCGCCCAGACTTTCACCTACAAGTTTTAGCACTGACAATTCTTGTCTGAAACAGTTATGGCGTGGTGGTTGCCGACTGGTGACTTCTTGGTCTTTCATTCCTTCTGCATCTGTTATTTGGCTACTGTACTGAAGAGCTTTCCTGTCTCCCCCACGTGTGTGTTTATTCACTTGTGTATTTATGTAACTGTTAGCTCATGTGTTATTCTTTTATCCGATGGGTTATAATCTGTCACTAATGTTATTCATTTTGATGCTCAAATAGTCCCAGATTTGGCCAGTGGGAACCCCATCTGGTAGACTCCTATGTCCTTTTGACATGTCCTTTTGACATGTCCTTGTCATTCTTCAAGCCCTTCCTTACTCTTTGGCACAGCAAGGTGATCCAAGTTCTTTCACTACTTTTCTGGAGTCAGCCATTTCTCTAAGGTGCCCTGCTTCCTTTTGATGGAGAATGGTGTTTAGAAACCAAGATCTGGGTGCTACATGGCTCCTTGCTACTGGGATATCATTACTTCCAAGCCCTCTCAGCAGACAAAACTAGGAAATACACACAAACACGTAGACATTTCTGTATCTGTCTTCATATATTAAAAACTCCATTGTGCATGCTGATACCTCCAATTTCAGTCCAGCACCACAGCGTTCATTCCCCATTCTCTTTCCATGTTTGTAACTCCCTTCTTCAACAGCAAGAAATCCAGCTCCCATGACTTATTTTTAATTTCAGAAATAACACGTGAATATCAGCCATCTCATTATCAAAGGACAGACAAAGCAAAGGTCCCTTTACACACCCACCATCCCAGTCATGTTCTAGACATTCCATAGAGGAAATTACTGTTATTGTATATATCCTCTGGGGTCATTTTTATGGAGAAATGTATAATTTTTCTTTTATTTCATTAATAGTTTCATAATGAGAATATGACTCTCTTTTTTATTTAATATGTTTTGGCTGGCTTTCAGTGAGAGTACCTTCAGTTCCATCTAATTATTTTTTAACTGCTGCATAGCATTCATTGTTTGGAATTGAAAACATAAGCGTCCAGTTTGGAGCTGTTACAAGCAGCATGGCAACCAGCATGGCAGCCAGCACGTCACTGGGCCCAGTGAGAGGCGCGTTCCAAGAAGAGAATCACTGGACCCAAGGGCTTGGGCATTTTTTTTTTCCATTAGAAAACAGCTTTAAAAATATTTTTTTGATTAGGTAAATAACACACACTCATGTTTTAAAAAAAAATCAAATAATACATAAAAAATAAAGAAGTGGGAAAAAATTAAGATCTCACCTCTGAGATAATGTTTTTGTGATGATCCTTTCAGGTATCATCTTATGCATATGCATACATTAACATTGTTACATCACTGGGGCCATAGCACACATGCTGTTGCACAGTAAAGTGCACATATCTTCAATATACAGCCTGATGAATTTTTACATAGATAAGTTTCCCTGTAACTACCACCCCAGATCAAGATATTGCACATTGTCCCCCATGCCAGAAGCTTCCCTTGTGTCTCCTCCTACGCATGACCCTTGACCCAAAGGTAACCACTGTTCTGGCCTCTATTGCCATAGATTACTTTTGTCTATTCTTAAAGTTCAGCTATAAATGCTTGGCACTCTTCTATGCCTGGCTTCTCTTGTTCAACATTATGTCTGAGACTCATCAGTGTTATTGTGGGTAGCAGTAGTTTCGTTCTTTTTCATAGCTGTGAGTACTTAATACTTTTTTCTTGTTTACTTCTGATCATTTGGAATTTTTTGTGTGTGTGTGAGGAAGATCAGCCGTGAACTAATATCCGATGCCAATCTTCCTCTTTTTGCCGAGGAAGACTGGCCCTGGGCTAACATCCGTGCTCATCTTCCTCTACTTTATACGAGACGCCACCACAGCATGGCTTGAGAAGCAGTACATCGGTCCGTGCCTGGGATCTAAACCTGCAAACCCTGGGCCACCGAAGTGGAGCACGGGAACTTAACCACTACACCACCGGGCCGGCCCCTGGAATTTTTAATAGTAGTAACAGCTATATTTATTACAGCACATAATCTATGTTAGGCACTGTTCTAAACCCTTTTTAAGTTCAGCTTATTTAATTCTCACAATAACCCAGTGAAGTGTGTGCTATTATTGTTATAATAACATATCCATGACTCTTTATCAGGTTGAAGAAGTTCCTTATTATTTCTAGTTTACCGAGTGTTTTCATTATAAGTGGATGTTAAGTTTGGTCAGATGCTCTCTCTCCATCTCGAGATGATTATATGGGTTTTTAAAAGCTCGTTGATACAATGAGTTATATTGATGTTTGAATGTCAAACCAACCTTGTATTCCTGGAGTAAACTCCATTTGATCGTAGTGTAGTATCCTTTATATATTTCTGGATTCGATTTGCTAATATTTTCTTTTTTTTTTTTTTTTAATTAACAATTAAGTTCCCATTCTTCTCCCAAATCACGGTGGGAACTTTATTTTTTTTATTTTTTTATTTTTTAAATTTTATTTATTTATTTTTCCCCCAAAGCCCCAGTAGACAGTTGTATGTCATAGTTGCACATCCTCATAGTTGCTGTATGTGGGACGTGGCCTCAGCGTGGCCGGAGAAGCGGTGCGTTGGTGTGCACCCGGGATCCGAACCCGGGCCGC